CCGGCCCCGGACGGCCCGGACGCATGTTGTTGTTCATTTGATTATCGCCACTGTCGCCATGTAATTTATTATATTGGCTTAACCGAGTACGCAACCTGGCCCTCTTTTTTATGGCTTTAACCTTTGGACACCGCCGCGTTGCTGACATTATTTAATTTGTCATTTAATTCTTCAGCTTTCTTTCTTTGGGAATCGGGCTTATTCCGGGCCATATGTTGTTCCCCGAAAGTGGCAAGAAAGCTTGGCAAGGGAATGCCTGGCAGAAATATGCACTTCTGTGACTTTTGACTCACAACTGCTGTTTCCTTATAAGAAAGGCTTCGGCTAAGGGGGTCGACTTTCGCCGGAAGCCTGATACTCACAGATAGATAGCTTCAAATACCGTTTTAATCATCTGCTCGCCGTTCAATTAATTATCTCGACTTTAACTTGAATCACAGTATCAGTAATCGCCGCCCACCGTCAGCGCACGAAAATTCCAGCGCCAAATAAGTCGCTAAATCATTTCTTAATTGCTCAATTTGAAAACAAATGCGACCATTTAATTTAATTGTGTGGACTCTTAATTGAGTCGTAGTTCGACCGGGCGATGCCTTTTATTTGGCGATTTCTGCACGAATGCAGCGGGCCCCCAGTCGGCGGCCACGCCCCCTCGCGATACACTCGCGGTACACCCGATACGCCCGATACGTTGTTAGATAATGCCGGCCCGGCATCGGGCAAACTTGTTGTGGCCGCCTGCCTGTTCATTTTCGGCATTTTTTGGCCTGGCAATTAAATGTGCGACAGTTTTCGGGGCACAAATGCTCAGCTGCAGTGCCGTGGGCCGCCAATTTTAATGATTTACAGCAGCAGCTACTTTATTCATCTGGGGATTGGGAGGGAGGTATGGGGGACTGGCTCTCCCACTTGGGCAGGTGGGTTCGTGGTGTCGAAATTTGCATATGCTTTATGCATTATGCGATAATGCGCAATAAACGTCGTGGAATCGGAATTATGTCGCTGGCTTTCGGCATTTGAGATACAAGCCTGTTAACTTCAAGATACTACGCCGGGAATGCAGTTAGGGATGTGAAAAACTGCGCCCATTAATCATTATAATAAACACAAGATATGACATTTAATTTGGACATTGGGCAGTTTTTGTACAACAAGTATTAGTACCCATTATAGTTAAAACTTATAACCTATAAGTACTGGTTTTATCTTTGAGATATCCATCCCTAGGTAAGCTTGAAGAGCGGGTGGTGGGGACCATAAATCTTGAGTGCATTTGGCCGAAACGCATCATCAATCATCCGCATGCAGATCGATTATTACAATTGCTGACAGACAGACACAGACGTGAGTTGGCGGTCGGCGGTTGCATCTGCGGGCTCTCATTTGTATCTGATGGATGTATCTGCGGCAACCTCCTGCTGCTGCTGCTGCTCGCTTGGCTGCAACATGCCAGTTCCGCGGAAAACTTTAGCACAGCTGCAGAAACTTTTGCTCGTGTCAAGTCCTAAAACTTCCAAGAAAACCTTAAAAAGTCCGTGGCCATGTTCTATGTCCGAAAACAGAAAAAATAAAACAAGAAATACAATACAGAAAAATATAAACTACAACAGTGCAGACATTGTTCGGGTTACTGGTTACTGGTCACTGCACGAAATTATTTTAATGAGTTGCCAATTAGGGCTCAGAGCCAGGCTCGGACTCAGCGAAATAGATCAGTCAACGAGTAGGGGGCTGCTAATAAATACCTGAGGACCAGCCCCTCGATTCGGCCCGATTGCGTAGAGCGGTGAGCAGCGCACACCTGTTGGCCGAAAGACCGGCCAGTGGCATAAATACAACTGGCCGATTGAAAGGGTTCCCCTGCTTTCGATGTTTCAGCTATTTACGAGTCTTTTGGGGAATTACATTCAGATCAGAGCCTGACAGCATCCGACAGGCGACAGCGGCGAGGACCTTGAGCCGCCAACTGGGGGAACTATCGAGGCGAGGAATGCAGATGTTGCATGCGATAGCCCCTCGAAGTTAAAGCTGATCCGGACTTGCTTCAGATAATTGCCTAAAAGTATAAACAGAAACCTTGAATTCTTACCTCCATCATAACTTAATATAAGTGTTTTTTAATGAGACATTGACATTTCTAACTTTTTATGAATTGTTTATTGTTTTGATCGTTAAGTTTAAGTTGAGACCTTAGTGATGACCTTTAATTATATTGCATAATTTTTTTAAAACTTTTTTTTTTTAACAAAAATAACTTTTTTTGGTCAAAGAAAGAACTTACCCTGTATGATTACTTTGTTTCGCTTCCGTCAACTCTTTACTTCAATTAACAAGTGGAGCTCGTTATTCTCATTTTCTCTGTTTTTGTTTCTGGTTTTTTCTTCAATTTTTATACCCTTGCAGAGGGTATTATAATTTTGTCCAAAAGTGTGCAACGCAGTGAAGGAGACATCTCCGACCCTATAAAGTATATATATTCTTGATCAGGATCACCTCCTGAGTTGATATGAGCATGTCCGTCTGTCCGTCTGTCCGTCTGTCCGTCTGTCCGTCTGTCCGTCTGTCCGTCTGTCTGTCTGTCTGTCCGTTTCTACGCGAACTAGTCTCTCAGTTTTAAAGCTATCGACTTGAAACTTTGCACACACCCTTCTTTCCTTTGCACGCAGTATATAAGTCGGAACGACCGGGATCGGTCGACTATATCCTATAGCTGCCATATAACTGATTGATCGGAAATGGTATAACTTTGGTGTTTTTAAAGTTAGAAAGTTCTAATTTAACATGAGAGCTATTTTTGGCAAAACAATACGACGTGCCAAATTTCATAAGGATCGGCCGACTATATATATAGCTGTCATATAACTGAACGATCGGAAATGACCCAACTTTCGTGTTTTTGAAGATAGAATGCTGGAATTCCATACAGATTCTATTTTTGGTCAGTTGATCCAACCTACCAAATTTCATAAGGATCGGCCGACTATATCTTATAGCTGCCATATAACTGAACGATCAGAAATGGTATTTGGTGTTTAGTAAAAATAACAACTTTGTTTTTTTTGACGATAGAAGCTTGGGACTTTTTTTTAGATTTTGTAATTTAATTAATTGGTTTTATTATAATGTAATCATAAGGATCGGCCAACTAAATCCGATGTTTGCGATATATATCCGGTTTTAACTGCAAGGGTATATCAACTTCGGCTCCGCCCGAAGTTAGCTTTCCTTTCTTGTTTTATTTAACACTTTCTGAGGCGCCGCTTATTAACGCGCTTCCTGCTGACCACGCCCACATCCTCAATTCAAGCGAAAATTGCTTTTCACTCGCTCTCCCATTCTGTTTGTTATTAATTACCCAGTTTCCAAAGACGTTACGCAGTTTCCAGTTTCTGGACTCCGCGCTCCCGAGTTCGCCTCGTGGCTACGTTTTTTGGCCAATTGAATTACAATGGAGAGCAGAAGACAACGAAGACCGTGAAGGGAGCTGGAACTCCGAAAAACCAGCCAGGAGATGGAGTGGAACATAATGGCGTTTGCTTTCATTATAGCACCGGGCATAGCATAAATATTTAAGCAACTGACAATGAGATAACAAACGACAAGGAAAGGGGCAACGGGGCCAGCCAATTTATAAGCGCGAAAATGAGGTCAAAGGCAAGGTGGGGGCAGTAGAGGGAGTGACCCAGGGGTACCAGGCAAATGTTGATAGTCCATTCATCAGTTAGTAGCGGCTAAATTACGTTCATTTTCGCAGCTCCCTTGCTTTATTGTTGTTCGATTCTCTAAGAAAGAGTTTACGGAGTTTGGTCAAGAATTTGAGATACAAAGGCCTAAGTAGTTCAAGGTAAAATCTTCAAAGAGAACAAATGGACTTCTTAGTCAGTGAATATAAATGTTAAATGGAAGAAATCGTTTTTAATGGAAAATCTTGGGGAATTGACTTGTAAAATGTTTATTTTTCAAAATAATCCGAAGAGTAAGAGCATCTCTTATTCGACTCCCACTGACCCCTATCTATTTCATCTTCAATTTCGCTTCGGCTTTTATCAAAAGGATATAAAACATAGCGTAGAAAGGCTAAGGGCGGTCTGAAATATTTATATGCGTGTTGATTTCTGTTTGCTGAATTTAACCTTTTCCCCCTTTGTGCGCCAGCCGGCGAGCGATGCCCACTTAGAGATAACGGCTAGGCGAAAAGGGTCAAAAACGCAGCGGCATGTGTTGGCCAGGCCAAGAGAGGGGGGGTGGGAGTGCCTCCCCTTCCGCTTGCACCCATTGGCCGCCTCATTTAACTGCGGCCATAAATATTCTAAATCACCAGCGGGGGCAGCGACGCTAACGGTGACGGAGACGACCGCCTCGACTTCAGTTTCAAGTTGTTAAGATAATAAAGTTTGTAATTAATTTTGCATCGTTAAATACGGCGTACATACACACGTAATTGAGCATTTGGGGGAAGCAGAGCCGCACTCGAATTAAAGTCCTGTATTTTCGAGAGCGGCTTTAATCGCCTGGCAGTCTCTGCGGGAAAAGGCCTAATTGACTACACTCACGAATTTAAGAGTTTCCGTCTTCCTGGTTATTGCTAGACAAAAACACCTTTGGATATCTATACAGTGGGCAGATGGGCCAAAACAAATAATCTTAGATCTGATTAAATAATTCAAGTTGTACCATTAGGAAAACATTTTCAGCTACAATTATTTAATCAACATTTTTTATAAATAAGAGAGACCATGCCACCCCACTGTGCCTTCATTTAAGAACATATATTACATTTATATACATATTTCATACTCCACTACCCATTCATATTCATAACTTTTTATGAATTCATCATCTTTATCGCCATCGCGTCATAAAAATTGCATAATCATAAAAACATTACATCCACCGTTGCCCAGGCCGATCATTCAGTTTTATTACACCCATTACACACACACGCTCCGACTAAAGATATATCTTGAGATTTTATTAAACTTTTGTTTCCCCTCTTGCAGATACCGCCGGCGAACTTGGATGGGCATTCACCTTAATCATAGTTTCAATCATATCGGCTCTTATAGGTGCTATTGTAATGGTCATAGTTCTAAGATGTAGAAGGTGAGTACAGTTTGGATGTTTGACAATATTTATAATGCGGGTAATATAAGAAACTCTCAATAATTTCTAATAAAAAACACATTTCTTGAAATGGCCACCAATGGATCCATACATTTACCATTCAAAATTAATTGGCCGCAACAAGAGGCAAATAAATGAGTTGATAAATTAACATTTTGGCATTTAGCTAGAAAAATACCACAATTAGTCATGATAAAGCCGCACATGAGCCGTGGCGAGGACATTCAACTCCTAACCCCCTGACGACCCCAGCGATCCGTCATGTGGCGACATTTACAGCGCCAGACAAATTGAAAAAATAAGTACACACACTCTCATATTTTTCGCGAATATGGTATCTGAGCTGTGGGATCTGTGTAACTATAAAGATTTACAATGCATTTGCCCACACGGGCGGCACTGCCACGAAGCGGCAACTTCAGCACCAGCACCAGCAATTCAATTAAACGCCCACCAAAAATAAATAAAACCTCTTAAGTGAGTCAACGGTCGCTTGCCGAGAATAATCGATGCCGAAAACAAAGGAACATGAAATTGCTTTATTACTTAATTGCTCTTTAAAAGAAACACATACAACATACAGTAAACAACGAACAACAGTTTTGCCACAGGCGTTCCTATATGGCCAAAAATTGTAGTTGGAGTCTATCAAAAGGCCATAGAGAGTGGGTCACACACTCGAGAGCTACAAGTACATTTAAATGGCCATTCTGTGAAGATATTGTATTGAAGCATGGGCGGGGGCGGTGGCGGTGACGGTGGGGGTGGCGGTACAGAACAACACACGCGAGTGCCAAATTAACAGAAATTTTTTATTCCACCAGTCCGAATCAAAATCCGAATCCGATTCGATTGGCGGTCGCGCAGGCGCCGCTTGTTTATTTCGCGGCTGCCGTGGGCTTCCAGCTTGAAGTGGAAACGCTGGCCACATGTCGCGTCCAATTAAATTGTCATGTCGTCTTATTTGGCGGCATGTTTGCATAAAATTAATTTTGCAAATTATTCGCCCAAGTCAAAGCAAACAAACAAATACGAAATGTGAATCCGAGCGGCAGTTGAATAGAGTTGTTTCTTCTAGATGAATAAATACTTTCGCTGCAGGGGCGAAGAGAGGTATAAATTATTTAAATTGTAAATAAATTGCAGGATGTTATCAATCAATATTATGTTTATAAATTATTTACATTTTTATTATAATTAAAGGGATTTAATAATAAACCCATTCTCTCAAAAAGATGGAAAATATTAAGGACAAACTCTGAATAAATTATAGGTTAAAAGTTTCTGCAATCAAGCCTTAAAAATGCTAATTACCTTAAATAATCGTAATTTAATCCAACCTCCATTATCTGCCTTTATACCCTTTGTTATCCAAAAATAAAATCCATTTTTTTGCCCAGGCAAATTGTCTCAATCAAGACCTGTCTGTCGCCTATTCTCACGGTTTTTGGACCAAATTTGATTTTTCATTAATCACCTGTGGCCCCCTGAAGCCTGCCCCTCCCGGCCACCTGAATGTCACGTTGTTTGCCTTGCCGTCAGACTTAGTCACTCATTTTGGGACTTGTTTTCGCAACCGTTTTAAAGTCGTTCTCCGACTCCGACTCCGGCTCCGGCTTCGTCCCGGTGTGTGGAGCATGTCACGTCGTGGCCGACGTGTTGGCTGCCAAATTAGCAGCAATTACATGTAATATCGGTTACACTTATTTGCATATTGATGCAATTCTCGATCTGGTCGCAATGGTGCTATAAATTTGCTTGGCACATGTCTCCACCACGTCACCCGATTCACATTTGTTTCTGTTTTTCCCTCGACTTGTTGGCCACCTTATTGAGCCTAGCTCCTAAGTGGCACCTGCCATTCGGATTTGGGTGTTTGTGTAACTGTTTCTGTTTTTCTATTTTTTTTTTTTTTTTTACAATGTTTGCTCAATGTCTAGACGGGGTAATGTCTTTCAAATGGCCACATGGGCTTGTCGGAAAAATTCAAAAGTGCCATTACTAATGCAGCTTGTTTTTGTTGACACTTTGATGAGGTAATAGGGACTTGTATAATAGTTATTTAAAACTGATTTGAAATAGATTTTATTCATTAATTGAGAGCATGTTTTTAATCTAAGACTGCTTGTTTAGCCTAAAATAGCTCAAGTGCTCCATCATTATGTTTATTAACCTCCTTGATGGCTTTGACCCTTTGCTTTGATCTCGTTTTACATTTTCCACCTTTCGATATGGATTTAATTTTCCACAAAAACCAAGGCCCCCTTCCGAAACCCCATTTAGTGGGGCTCCTCTCGATTTCTTAGCCGCAAAAACAAAAGTCAAGTTTAAACCGCTTAATGCATTTTAGACACAAAAAGGCGTGTTCAATTAGCATGCTAAAAAACGCGATCGGCCCGAAATGGAAACAAAAAAGCAGTAACACAAAAAATCGAAACTACAAGCGCAGAAAATTGAACATAACGCGCCGAAGGAAAATCGAAGGAAAATAAGCTGAAAAGTCGGAGCTGGGTGAATTAGCGCAGAGCCAAGGCCCCCGAGACAGCGACGCTGGTTGTTCAATTTAATTGAATCGAGGAGAACAAAAACTACAACTGCAACTAAAACTAAAAGTAAGAAACCCAGAGAAAAAAAGAGTAAAACGAATTGGCAGTTGCGGCTCGAGTTGAGTTAACATTATAATCGATCAAGGCAAACCGAGGGGAAAATGCAGCGCATGCCGCACTGCACTCAATCAAATCGGACAGACGGTTAATTGATACGCACAGATCGGGGATGTATAACCCGTACTGGCTGGGTATATGCGCGTCTATGGAGAGAGGTGTATATGCCGGCTCATGACCATTTAGGCTGCAGGTTAGTGCCGTTCGCTGTGACCCAGAAAAGCGGAGTCAGCAAGTGCAAATATGTGGCTGGTGGAATAGAATTAAGCGGATTGGGGAAAACTGCTCCAGAAAAACTCTGTCCAGCCATAGAAAGCTTCGGCAAACACCTGCCAATTCGGCCGCACAAATCACTCAGGCCCACGAAAGGCCGACTTCGGGCCGGTTTCAAATGCCAAAAAGTACATCCTCTTCCATTATTTCGTTTGTTTTGTGGGGCTAATCTAATCGCATCGCTTGCTTCGAGAGCTACCCCGCTGGATAATGCAGTTCTGTTGTTTTCTAGTGGATGTTTATCTGTCCCGGTCGATACTTTGTATTTTATTTATCGCCAAGTCAGGGCACGTCGCACGCAACTCGCTCCTAAAATGTGTTCGCGTGGCCCAAGTTTGTGTCTTAAGTCATTCGTTTTGGCATTTGGCCGCTTAGTTGTTTTGGCGGTTTGTCACTTGACAATTTGACATTTACTTTATACTAATTTATGCTCGGCACTCTATTAAAATTCTGTTTATTAATTGGTACACATTTTTTCCATTCTTATCTTTGCAGAATTAAATCAGCGAATGCCAACGGTAAGTGAACAAATGTTTTCTTTATTCTCTCTGATTATTCAAACTAATGGGGGTGATTAAATGTATCTCGGCACGTTTTAGAATCTAAATGGGTAGTTAAAAAACAAGATTAATAGTTGCTTTCAATGTAAATAAAAAATGGTTTAGCCTAGGCTTGCCTCTATTTCTTTGAAATGCAAGAAATTTGTATTCAAATTTTCTCAGGAACAGCATTAATTTCTTGCATTTCAATTAAGAAATTATTCCCATGCCTCAGCGCTATCCCTTCAATATCTGACTTCCTCCAAAAAACTCGATTGCCACTTTTTGCATTGCCTGATTAATTAGCCAAGCCTTCCGAGCCCGGCCAAGTCAGGTCAGGTTTTTTGTAACTTCTGCTCATCATCGAGGTTTTTGCCTCCTTTTTGCATTTTCATTTCCATTTTTAATTGCATAATTCTGCCGTTGCATGCAATTCAAAGAAATCTTTCATTCTGGCTGCAGTTCTTCCAGACAGCCCTCCTCCTGCCCTCCGCCCTGACAAGTGGCAACATTTTAATTTGTTTTCTGCGGCCGTGGCAGAAGGAAGGCAACTAACTAACAAAATGAAGACAAATTTTTGACGACAATGCATGAACTTCACGTTCGTGCCACAAATCTGAGATGCTGCTGCTGCTGCCGCTTCTGCAGTTGAAACCGAAACCGAGTGGCAGGGATTGGATTATATTGCCGGGGGCTACGTGATGGCCAAAACTTTCGAGTAAAAGAAAATTTGTAGACAAATTAAGGCAAAGCCAAACAATTGTCATGGTCGCAGACGGTCTTCGTCAAACACGTTTGAAAGTCGTGCAAACTAGAAACAGAAATAAATGGAAAGGGGGAAAACGGAACGGAACGGAAAACGGTTTGTTTGCTATTTTGATTTAGTTGCTCGACTTGCGATTCTGGGCTGGCTTTCAGCGGTAGGCGAGTTATTGACAAACGATCCCTTAAACCCTGGGACCCTAGCGGGTCGATCTGGGGGACTCTCTCTTTCGCTGGGCTGGGACTGGGGCTTGGCGCCAATTTCACTGTCCGTCTGTGGGCCTGACAATCGACATGCAGGACAAATTGTTGACGGCATTTAATGTCACAGCAGCCAATTAGCTGTCCCCATGAAAATGCTCGTTTCTTGTTGTTTTCATTGCCGGTTTCCTTTTTGTATTTTGTATTTTGGCAAAAAAGTCAAAAGTTTTTTTGTTACCCAGTGTTTTTTTAGCAGTTTTCGGTTTTTTCGGCATTTGGTTGGTGGTACGCACGGTTGCATGTTAAGGCCGGGAAAAAAGAAACAACCGGAGAAACAAACAATCGCCACAAATCGTTAAACTGTCAGCAGCTTTTAAAGCGCGTGATTATGTCCAAGTCAACGTCGGACTCGATGCCGGGAGTTGAGAGTTGAGAGACAAGCGCCAGTTGCCACACAGTTTTTGCGGACATTTCCAGAGTCTTTTGTGCCGAAAGAGAAAATTTTCAATTGCCAAAAAATGTGCACTTAAGTACTGTTTATATCTTGCAACATTTCTGCAAAGGTGAAAAAGTGTTCAAATGTAAATTCAGTGCCTAAGTATTTTCGGCAATCGCCGCCAAATATCCACACAATTGCCAAACTCAAGAGTGTCAGTTTCGTTGAAAATTCTTTGCAATTATCTTCGACCAGCGCCAACCAACGAGTCGTATGCGTACTGTGATTTTAATTATGCATACAAAGAATTCACGATAATCAAGCAACAAAAACCGGCAAAAAAAATAAATAAAATCGAAAAATGGCATGTGACATTTGTGTACATTAAACTGGCAAGACACGGCCGGGCGATTGGCATTATCTGGCCGGCTATTAAGACTTCATTACACATGTCATATTTGCCATTTTGCCATTTGGCCGTTTTGCCCAGTAACGATATCAGAAAAAAACCCCAAAACCAAACACAAATTAAATTCCATAGCCGAAGTGCTCGTTAATTCTTGCTTTATTTATTTTTGATTTTTATGCTTTTCATCTGAACAAAAGTTGACTGTGAAATATTTTGTTAACAACAATTTGCAGTTGCTGGCTAGCTGGCTTGCAGCTTTTGCCGTGCAGTTGGCTGAGATAAGCACTGCCAGATAAGACGGCATAGGTAGCTGTTATAATGCAGTTAGAGACAGTGGGGCAAAGTAGAAGAGGTTTCAACAAAAGTATTAAAATCTAATAAAGTTATTGATAAACATCCTATTAACTCCACTAAATAGTAATGCATAGAAGATATATTTTTAAAATTTTTATTTTTAAAAAGTCTTAAGCATTTTAGAATTTTAAAGTACTGCTACTGTTTTAAGACATTGGGAAATCCACAAAAAAATGGTAAATCCAACACCAATGAAGTTCAGTTCAACTTACTTCGCCTCGACTCGATTCAGCTCAGTTAGCTGTGCAGTAGCCGCAGCAACATCGTTAACACGGCGCAAAAACAGCCATTAAGCCGAGTTCCAGTTGGAACTGAGACCAGTAGACGCGGAGACTTGAAGCGGAGTCTGGGACTGGTGTTTGTGGCATTGGTGACATGCACAAAATGCATGTATATGAGCACCTACGTACGATAACTCCGCGGTTCGGGGGTAATAATCGCCGCAGCCAAAGCCATGGCTGCTGGACATTCGCTTAGCCGGAGTACGTAAATCATAAACATAAAACAGACCTCGACTCCAACTCCAAAGCTAAAGACTACACCGGAAAATTTAGTTCTAGAGGCCATTTATTCTACTTTTTATAGGGCGTTGAATATTAAACTCTACTTTTAAAGCAGTCTATTAAATTAAGTTCTCCACTTTAGAATTAATAGCTTAGTATTGAGCATCGATTATATTTTTCTGCGTGTAGGATTGCATTATGCATGTACATAACTTGAGAAGCCTTCGGTCCCACTGTGGTTGCGTATGCACCATGCTAATTAGTCGAATCGCCCCAAGTGGCTCCAAGTGGCTCCATCTTTGCCGAGTTAATGAGAGTGAAAGGCGAGTTTAAATAAATATATAAAAAGTATATATGCACATATAAAAAGGCATATTTTGCGTTGCAGTTTTGTGAGCAGCTTCTAGGCAAATGAACTGCGGATGATCTGGAAATCCGACCCCGTGGCGGATGGTGCGGATGTTGGGAACAGGTCTACTCTGCGTTTACGGCCAGCAATTAGACGTGTTTGCCGGTGCCAGTGCCAGTACCTCGACAAGAGAATCTCATTGAGAGTTTAGAGTTGTCTATAAATTATGAGCTAATGACGGGTTGAGGTTTTATGGAATCCCGGCTATTCCGATTTGAGTGCTTTTCAACGGTCGGTTGAGTCACACGGATCTGCAGCTCCCATTACCTTTCCATGCCCACTTGGGCATTATGAGATCACATGTGCTGATAGCGGAAAGCGGCGAAACATTTGGCATTTTCGGCCATTTGGCGGCAATCTAAGCGGCAACTGCAGTGGTGCTGCAGAGGCGGCGGTGCACCGGAGTGCTGCCAGTGGTGCAGTTTGTTTGCCACCTCGCTGCCAGTTGACAGCCGTTTAATTTACGCTTTGTTTGTTTGTTTGTTTCTGTCTTTTGTTCGCGTCTGTAGGTGAATGTTTGATTTATCGTCCGATTATAAACCGAAATGTCATAGATATCTACTGCGTTCGATTCCGATTCGTTTTCGGCAGACTCTCCCAGTAAAGTCTAGTCCGCACGCCATTACAAGAATCCTAATTAAACCATACTTTTCAGTTATGATTCCTATGATTTCATATCCGATTATTTAATTTTTTTTAATTAAACAACAGCTAGAGACAATAAGTACTAGCGGCAATAACCAAACTTAAAGAAAACTTCAGCACACTTTACTAACGATATTCTGAAAAAGTAATACTGAGTAGATTTTTTGACCCCTATAGACTTTTTGTTTCGCTTTCCTTATGGATTTTTTCACCTTTTCACAGGGTATTATATTTTTGATCAAAAGTGTGCAATCGACTAAATGTTATAGCCACCATATTACTGATTGATTGGACTCTGATGATTCATAAGTTCACGGATACATAACTTAGTGACCGAAAAGTCATAGCTTTGGTGTTTATGAAGATAGGAGCTTAATATTTTTTTTACATTTGTAATATAAGAAATTAATTTAAAGGTTTTTTTTTTTTAATTTTGTTTATTTTTAAAGTGACTTTGTTGTAGGGTCTCCCGTTCCTGACCCCTCAGATCATTTCATTGTTTTTAACTTATATTTTTTTGATATCTTAATTTTTATTTCCACTTCTTTTTCTCGGCCTTTCCAAATTTTATGTTTTTTTCTTTTATATATATTTTTTTGATTTAATCGTTATCATTATTCTTCGTTCGATTTGGACTGGCTAGCCAACTTTTTAGTCAATGCGCTTTTCTTTTTCAATAACTCAATAAAATTAACTATAAATCTCATTTAAAATTTCCTATGATTTCTTGATCCCACTATCCGATTGTTCGATATTTTTAATTAAGCAACAGCTAGAGACAATCTCGACAAGTGGCAATTACCCAACTTGTAAAATATGCAAATTTTTTCGTAATTATCTCCGACCAGGGGACCAGGGGCCAACGTGTCGTATGAGTAACATGATTTTAATTAAGCAAACAGCAGATAAGGCAGAAAAGCAAACTACAACTTTCCTCCTTGCAGGTGGTCGCCCGCAGCCATGGTGGTGTCGCAACAATCGAAACGGTGGCCAAAACCGATCCCCCATCTCGATCAAGCACTCGGCGGACAGCATCCGGAGACCCACTAGCAACTCCGGTGTGTGGACCTGGCTGGGCGGCAGCCGCCGCTCCTCGGCCGGACCCGACCAGATCGGGCCGCCGTCTACCTCCCCGGCGGAGAACCACTACACCCACATGGATGATGCCTACAGTCCGGTGGGCGTGAACGAGGCCCTCTACGCAGAGCTGGATCGCGAATCTGTGCGCTCCGCCAATCCCTCGTACCAGAACACGGCCTACAGTCAATGTGGCGAGGTAACTACATTTTTTTCGTTCTACTTGGATATCTCCCTAACTCTGAATCTCCCCTCCAGAAATACAATTTCCAAGGCCACGAACAGGACATTCCCATGGTGGTCTCCTCGGCACCGAGCAGTGCCTACTACTCCGATCTGTCGGTGACCGCCATGCCGGGCGGGGCCAGTGGCAGCAACCAGGGCGCCTACGAAATAGTCGGACTGAATGTAATGTCCCAGCCCCTGCCCAACTGGGATCACCACGGCGGAGTGGCCGTGGCCCTGACTGGCGGAGGCGGGGGGGCAGGAGCAGGACTGACGCCCGGCGAGGCGGCCGCCATGACGCAGCGGCGAGGGCCACGACTGGCGGCCATCAACGAGACCAGCACCAGCACAGTGCCCTCGGACTACGTTTAAAGAAATAATAAAGATTAAAACACATTTGTGAAATGTTCAGCGAGCTTAACATGTTAATAGGATAAAGAATAGATGTTATATACACCCCATAGCGTTACGTAGGGTTAAATTTACGAATATACGAGTATAGTATACCATTTAGTGCTTAGCGTGGACTCGTGTCTTTGGTTTATGTCTGATCGTGAATTGTCATCTGTACCCGTTCCGATGTTGGGACATATTTATACACACTTACAAGGCGATAATGTATTATATATGTCTAGTGTTTATATAGTCTGTAAGCAACGATTTAATCGTGGGTGATATTTAGCCTAAAAATACGCTATATTCTTATGTTCTACGTACTTTAAACATTTTCTAAAAATGTAAAATCGACAACAAACGCATTTTTTCGTAGGGTTAAGGCTTAGGCTATCCGACAGGATGATGGAATGGAATGGAATGGCAGGGTAGGCAGGGTAGGCAGGCAAGGAACCGTATTTCCCCCCAGGATCAGTACATGCATTAATATTTATATTAAACGTATACCACATATTTATACACGCATATTTACAACAGCAACTAACAAGCAACCAGCAAAGAAAAACTCAATTTAGCTCACCAATATTATACTATATCTATACCAATTACTGAGGAACGTATTTACAACGATTTTAACGCAAAACAGATTTCAACATATTTACCGATTACCGAACATTGCAGTCGGGGGAAATGATCGTCATATCATTTACGACACCATATACATATGCATAGCTATCTATATACCATATACAATAAACGGACTCACTCACGCGACCCCTAGCAGAGGTACTTTAGTTCTTAGTTTCGCCCGGCCGGGCTCCTCCTTGGGACCTTGGCCGACTAATTTAACGACACGCCGAACACACACACACACAATTCCTGTACATTTTTGTTTTAGTTGAAAATATAATTAAACAATTTATTGATATTTACATTCTGAATCCCGAACAAGAGAGTTTTATTCAACTGATGATGGCTTTATTGAGAATTCATAGATATTACAGTAAGTATTGTCTTTCTGTTTTCGAATAGTTATTTTATAAAAGTAGATAAGTTTAGAGGAGTTGGATATTATTCCAGTAAGTATTGTCTCTCCACCGTTGATATTATAAAGTTATTTTCGATGATATATATTATGATATCAAGTATTGTCGTTATTCAATGAGTATTTTCTTCAACCAGAAAAAGTATTGTCATTATTTATCGTTTTTGCAATAGGCATAATATGTGCTTAAGACTAGTTATTGTTCCGTAATACTAGGACTAGATATGCATACAACCAACTTCATGTGTCTGGAGTATTCTTAAAAAGGTAATATCAATTAAATTGGTAATAAAAGTTTCGGATTTCTCCACCACTCTTTGTACTGTAACATGTATATGTTGCGTTTAACTTTAAAATATTTTTTAGACTATTCGTATCGTATTTAGTAAATGGAAGCACTTCAGTTAACCCGTTCAGTTAACCGTGAACCCTTGGAAGAAAGTGGCAATAGTGAATGTGGGCAGCTGCTTAACCTCCGCCCGTTCGTGGATCTTGCGGTGGGTGCGGAGGGCAGCCGGCTGGGTGAAGCGCCTGCCGCACTGATGGCACTCGAAGTTCTTCTCTCCCGTGTGGGTCATCTCGTGGTATTTGCGAGTGTCTGCGGTGGCGAACGACTTCTCGCAGTAGCTGCAGGCGTAATCCCTGGCCTTTTCGTGGATGGTGCGGAAGTGTTTCTTGAGGCTAGTCGAGCTGTTGCACACTTTGGGGCACTGCGAGCAGGACCAAGTCCTCTCGAGCGTGTGGAAGTTAATGTGCAGACGCAGCTCATTCTTGGTAGTCTTCTTTAGACCGCAGTAGGGGCAGCTAAAGTTCTTGATGCCGTTGTGGCGCAGCATGTGCACCTCCAGCTTCTGTTTGGTCTGAAACTTCGAGGAGCAGTCGGGAACCTCGCAGGCGAACGGCAGCTGCATGTTGTCGCGGTGCGTGTACCTGTGATGCTTCAAAGCTGCCTGATTCTGAAACGTCCTTCCGCAGAACTCGCACACGTGTGTTTTCAGGACCTCGCCGATCTGGTGAGCCTTGCTCTGATGCGCTTTGAGGGAGCCCTTGTGGCGGTACATCTTTTTGCAGCCCTCCTGATCGCACACGAACCGCATCCCCACCTCTGCGTGCTCCATTTCGTGCTGCTTTAGGCTTTCGTATCGATTAAAGGATTCCTCACATCCCGCCTCGGTGCAGTGGTACAGACTGTGGCCATCGTGTTCCCGTTTGTGGATGGAAAATCGCTTCTCATCCGAGAATTCCTCAAAGCATACGTCACACTTATAGGAGGGGACTTCTGCAGTCTCAACAGGAATCTGAAAGGTTGGATAAAAGTGTCAGTACTCCTGGAAAGTCCTCCCATTATCCTCCCCCTGTACTCACATTATCCCTGATCTGACCTTGATTTTGATCTGACTCTGCGACCTGATTAGTCTGCAACAAAGGCCTCTGGGACGTGAGTTCCTCGACGCACATCATCAGTTCCGGAGACGTCATGTAGGGCTCGCTTGTAGCTTCCTTCGTTAGCTTTTCTACCTCCAGGACGGGCTTGTCCAAGCCGATATCCTTTGAAAAAAGCCACGTCTTCGACCGCCACCTGTGATCTGTGAGAATGCAGAGGGCCCGGAAGGCATGGAACTTCTCTATCTGCTCGTAGCACTCGCAGCAGATTTCACTGGGCATCATTTCGTGCTCCATGGGATCCACCACCAAGTTGGTGCAGTCGGAGAACTTCTCGGCGAGGTCCGGCAGTTCCAAAAGGTTGTAGGCCTCGTCCTCCGTGGCCATTTTGTTGGAGCACACACGGCAGATTTCCCGTGGAGCCATTTTCTTGCTATAAAAATTCAAAAAGTAACAACCAAAGTCTTTTAAAAGCGCCATACATTCAAATCATATGAACGGTGGTTATCTAAGCCAGGATTGAAGGTCTGGATGTTGCTTATTTCATAATAATTTTAATCTTACACGCTCGGGACGGGTGCGCCAAAAATATTCGATGCTCCAACTGCGCCTTCCGTTTTTTCCCAATCGGAAAAATCCACCCTCCAAACTCTCTTCTTCTTGTTTATTTACTTCTAGTGTTTTCCACCACTGTTAAATGCTAACAGCTGTTATAGAGTACAATTTTCGAACTATCGATTATTCTAGTGCACATCGCGTCCGCATAGATGGCGCTAACTCAAACTTGGTTCGAGTGTTGGGCAATTTCAAGCAGAACCATTTTTTGACGTTTTTCAACACACGAGGTGCAGAATTGTCGCGCGCGTTTTTTTTTTGGTTCGAACCGCGGGAAAAAACGCGCGGGACTCCAACAGGTTAAAAAAAAAATATTTATAAAAATACAGTATTTTACTGTAAAATAAATACGGTTTTTTATTGAAAAAAGATTGAATGGAGACTTCTTATTTCCGGTTCTCAATTTCTTTAAGTAAAATCTAAAAAAAAATATACATTTTTTTTAGTAAATATAAAAATTTACCTTAAAAAAAATATAAAGTTGATGGCATAAAAATTTTTAATTCATAACGAATCGGCGAAACAAATTTGAAACTTTAAACCGCGATTATCTCAGAATCTTGTTATTGCGAAATTAGACACGATTACTAAAAAACCATTAATCCGATCAACACCAAATTTTGACCACTCATTTTGTGAACGAAGGATTCTCAATTTATTTTGAAAACATCCTTTTTAGAGAATAAATATTGAAAAATTGTTTAGAATTTAAAAATTAAATTTCGTAAACTCTCGCTATTCTACGGCTCTGGTTTCCAACTTTATCTCAAAAAGGACCACAAAAGAAAATACCCAAAAAATTGAAAAAAATTCTCCCGACAACGAGAGAGAGAAATTCTCCGGACAACGAGAAATTAAATGTTCTCACTGAAAAGAAATGTTGGAAAAAATTTCTATTGATGGGTGCTGAAAATTGAAATATGAAAGAAAACAAATTTTGGAAAAATATTTTATTATAAATGTATTTTATTATATTATTATTAATTTATATATTATATTTACAATTAATTACTAAAATTACTAAAACTAAATTAAATATAAATTAAATTCTATTACTAATACCTATTATAAATTAAATCTAACTTAATTGAAGTCGGGCTGGGAATAGGGCCGATTAGTGGGGGAGGATTGGTGGGGGGAGGATTGGTGGGGGGATTAGTGGGGGAGGATTGGTGGGGGATTAGTGGGGGGAGGATTGATGAGCCCATCCCACCGGTCTCACAACTCCCTCATCCTGGGGCCCGGCTGGTAATAGACACCCACCCTGCCTTTGCACTTATATTTCAAGTGCATTGTAAAATTTGACTCTTTTTTGGTGAACGGGCACCACGGGCAGTGGAACCCCTTTCCCTCCTGGAGGCATTGCTCGAAATGGACGTTCAACTGCCTCATACTCCTAAAATTGGCAAAGCAATATGGGCATTCTTTTTCTAAGCTAGTCCATATGCCCCCGAGCCCGTCTATGTGCCAGGTTGGCGTGCGGCATGTCTCAGATCAAGAGTGAGCTCCCTAGCGGGCACTAGCATTGCCACTGGCCGGCTCGGGGGCGGCGGCGGTGTCGCAGGTTGCGTTGGCGGTGGCGTCATCACTGGCGGTGGCGTCGTCACTGGCCGGGCACTGGGCGCCATCCCTTGCGGGGTCCGGGGACTGGGCGCCATCCCTTGCGGGGGCCGAGGCCGGGGCGCCATCCCTTGCGGGGTCCGGGGTGGGGCGCCATCCCTTGCGAGGGTGGGGGACTGGGCGCCATCCTGGGTGGGGGACTGGGCGCACTCCGTTGCAGTGGCCGGGGCCGGGGCCGGGGCTGTGGCCGGGGCCGGGGCGCACTCCGTTGCAGTGGCCGGGGCCGGGGCCGGGGCTGTGGCCGGGGCCGGGGCGCACTCCGTTGCAGTGGCCGGACACTGGGCGCCATCCCTTGCGAGGGTGGGGGACTGGGCGCCATCCCTTGCGGGGGTGGGGGACTGGGCGCCATCCGTTGCTGTGGCCGGGGCCGGGGCGCACTCCGTTGCTGTGGCCGGGCACTGGGCGCCATCCCTTGCGGGGGCCGAGGCCGGGGCGCACTCCGTTGCTGTGGCCGGGCACTGGGCGCCATCCCTTGCGGGGGTGGGGGCACTGCCTCATTGTAAAAATTCATGGTCTGCAAAAAAGATTGTTAAAGTAATTAATAAACTAATAATAATACTAAAAAACTAATACATTATTTAATAACTAATAATACTACTAATAAACTAATACTTACACCATAATTATAAAAATGAAACATTGTTTTTTTTTCCTTTAAAAAAAAAATACAGAAAGCGAGAATAATTAGCGAGAATTGCTTAGTTTGGAAATGTCAAAGACACAAAAGTTTTTTTTTAAGGATATGTTATCTATTGATTTCAACTTACATCGATGAAATCGATGAATCGATACTTGCAATTTTGATTTTCTTTTCATTTGGTTAATACTAATTTTATGAAAATTCAAATGATAAATTGAATTGATAATATGTCTCCCTCATCCTGGGGCCGGGGACATATGGCACACCCACCCTGCCGCTACATTTAAATTTAATATGCATTGAAAAATTTGCCTTAACTTTTGTGTAGGGGCACCATTGGCAATGGTACCCCTTGCCCTCATTGAGGCACCCCTCAAAATGTGTTCTTTGGGCCCTCATGCCCCTGAATTCCCTAAAGCAATAGGGGCATTGCCTTTCCGAGCTTGTCCAGATGCCCCATTGCCCGTCGATGTGCCAGGTCGGCATGGCGGCACCGCTCAGGTTAAGATTTAATTCCCGAGCGGGCACTAGCATCATCAACGGGCTCGGGGGCGGCGTCTCCATTTGCGAGGGCGGGGGCGGCGTCACTGGCGGGGGCGGGGGCGTCATCCATACTTGCACCCACCTTGCCGCAACATTTATTAAATTTGATGTGCATCGTAAAATTGGCCTTGTCCTTTGTGAAGGGGCACCATTGGCAATGGTACCCCTTGCCCTCATTGAGGCACCCTTCAAAATGTGTTCTTTGGGTCCTCATTTGAGGAGAAAAAAATGTTCTCAAAGGCTCTTTTTTTGAGCAGAAAAAAAATGTTCTCAAAGGCTGTGTAGCGCGAAGTTGAAAAACGTTAAAAAATTGGACAGTGTTGTGAAATGGTTGGTTTTTATTTTGGCGGGTTTTGTAATCAAATGAAAAAATCAAAGAGTTATTTAAAAGCAAATTTTAATCAATTTTTCATCAATTTCAATTTGAACACCTATTGAAATTGAAATGCCTATTTGAAAACAATAAAAAGTCCATACACCATACAGTCCATATAATTACCAGATACAATTTAGTACACCAATTTAATACACCAATACACCGTATATTTGAAAACAAAAAAACTCTTGCTTAAATTTATTATAATTTTTTTTTTAAATTTATTTATAGTTAAAAATACTCTTTTCCGCACCACCTTTGAGGTAGAGTAAATGGCGCGTTTTTTTTTAAGTGGTATCCCCGAGAGGCCTAATCCACTGTACAAAAACGAAATTCAACTTAACTAAACTAAAACTAATACAAAAACTAATACTAAACTATATTATAATACTAATACTAATTCACCTTCATCCTCTTCGATGGTCCTGGCTCCCGTCCTTGTCATCCTTCCTAGTCTCGTCTGGGGTTAGTAAATCGGCCAATTCCATGTCCCTGGGAAAAAAATTATGTATATTTTTTATGACATATGATAATATAAATACTTACGTTTCCTTAAGATCTTTGTGAATTCTTTGCACAAAGATCGTGGACAAAGTGGCAATGAAGGCAGTCGCCTCGTTTGGATCGGCGAGGGCCGGGAATGGCTGTGTACCGCACCGACCAATGTTCTGGTAAGCCGGGTGCTTGTTTTGATTTTGCCTAGCACCATTTTAATTCCCTCCAAAATGGCAGCCGATCCAATTGTTTTGATGCCACTTAACGCCTACAAAAAAAATGTAATTAATTTCATTTTAATAAAATTAAGTACTTATTGTGCTTACCGCTCGCAAATAAACAATTTTCAAGTGTCCCGCGAAATTGGACACCGCAATGGAAAATAATTTCCAATTCTTCATGTTATTTGGGGCGTTCTGTAAAAATATATTAATTAGTAAATATATAAGTATGTATATATAACAATTTTTATACTTACATTGACATGTCTTAGATGAAGACATCGAAAATAATAAAAAAATGGTTCGTCGACCAAAAGGAAATTCAAATTGCTCTTCTGTTATTTAACCATACCAGAAATGATTCTGGAATGTTCATATCACAAACAATTTTTAATTGTTTTACGCACTGCATGTTGAAATTCTCACTTTGCAATGTTTTGATGGTGGAGAATTAGTGATGGGAATTTGGGACGCGTCATTTTGGAGCGTTGCCAATTAACCATAAGAAAGATAAGATCAAGAAAGAATAAAAAAGATTTTATTTGTGGCTACAAACATTAAAGTTTGCAAACTTTCATCAATTAAATAATTTACAAATTATTAAACAAACTACAAATAAATAAACAAAACGAATAATAATGGCACAGTAAGTACTTAAGTATTTAATGCTTGCTGAGGTATTATAGTTTTGATCAAAAGTGGCCGAAAAAGACATTTTCAATATTTTTTTTTCTCCAGTTCCATATCAACACGCTAAATCAAACCACAATCATACAACCAACCGCACAACCAACATACATACAACCCGCACAACCAACAAATTTTTATACCAACCAACGCAAATTTTTCAATGCATATTAAATTTAAATGTAGCGGCAGGGTGGGTGTGCCATATGTCCCCGGCCCCAGGATGAGGGAGTTGTGGGCCCTGTAGGAAGGGCTCCTCAATCCTCCCACTATTCCTCCTCCTAATACTCCTCCTACTCCTAATACAGCCTATTCCCAGCCCGATTATAACTAATTTATATTTAATTTATAATAGTAATAGTATTAGTAATAGTAATTAATTATTTTGTTTTTCATTTATAATAGTAATAGTAATAGTATCTAATTGTAAATATATAGATAATATTTTTCCAAAATTTCCTTTCATATTTTAATTTTTAGCACCCAAGAAATTCAATTCAAATTTTTGGTGTTCCAGGGCATAAAGATCGTTTCTTGTTTTTTATTTTTAAAATATTTTATGAAAATAAAAAAAAAAATAAATAACTATGTAAGAACATATTTAAAAGTTAAAATGAAAATTCAAAAATAAATTATCATTCTGGGAGCTGATGTTAGCCGCAAGGCTCACAACCAACTGACCAGAAAACGATTGCTTGGTCTATTTATATGCAAGTTCTTCTACACTAGAGGATATATCGATGTTTAACGATGTATCGATGTTTGGAAATGAATACCCATCGATATTAATATCGAATAGGAAGACCGACAACACGATAAGTACCAATAATAACAATAACATATTAATATATTTAACTTAAAATATACTAATAAATAATTATTAAAGAATAATTTACACTGCTGGCACTCAGTTTTCCACACAAATTCTTTTTATATTTATTATTGTAATGATTTTTGAAAAAAAGTTTATATGCATAAACCTTCGTTATTTAACAATTTTAAATAATATTTAAAATACGTTGTTATTATTTACGTTTAATAGCATCAGTTATGTTTCCTTATCTTCGTATTGCTTTCGTTCTTCGTATACCTTCCGTGTTCCGTGTTTAGATTCGGATCCGGAATATGGTGGCCAGGTCATGATAACGTTTTGACTCAAAATAAACGACTTTACTAGGATGAGCAATTATGAACGGTATACCATGAGAAAGCTAATTTGTAGCCCATTCGAATGGTACCATTCCCATTAAAATCGCTCCCACAGATTTTGAGCAATCAAGTCCCGAAAATTTCGGACCCTGATTCGCCAATACTGGGCGTTTCACCGATTAACGTGTTTTGACGCTGCCCAACACTTATTGCGCGTTTTCCCAAAAAGCGCCATTAACAAGGGTCACAAGCCTCACAAGCATCACTGATCGTTGTTAATAATTAAAAAAAAAAAAAAGATGTCGGTTAAATATTTTTATTTCAACAATGCCGTAAGTATTTATTTAATAAATATGTTGAATATTATTAATATTAATAAATCATTAATAAATTTAATAATAAATAATTAATAAATCTATTTTTTTTAGAAATTTTTTTTTTATAAAAACAGAAGAAGAGCGGCTTTGGCTGCTGCTCCAGGGAGTCGGCGCCAAAGAGCCATTACTCGACGCCGGCGAATCCTGATGAGGAATGCTGGCCACCCCCAGCCGCTGGCAACTCGTCTACAGGTCTTAAAACAGTCCCATACTAGTCCCACCTTCTTTGGTTTGTTCGGGTTGTGCGTTTTAAGGGGTAATATACAGTTGTACCGCGCAAAAATATGAAATTTTATCGATTTTTTTTTGACACTATAAAAAATATTTATAAAAAATGTTTTGCCGACGTTGTTTAGTACATGTTTCTGGGTACTTATTAAAATTTTTTCATAAAAAAATATAAATAATAAAAATGTTATGGCCGAATTTCAATATCTTTTTTTTTTCGATGGTGAATTGCGGTGGACATCATATCCCGAGAACGGTTCATCCGAATTCAAAAATTCAAAAAAATATCGTTAGTATATTGTATTGCCTAGTCCGAGAACGATGGATTTAAAAAATTTTGATCTACAAAAAAATGGCGACGGTTTTAACAAAAAATTTACTTTTTCAAGGTTAAAGATTCTGGATTTTTATGCTCTAAAAAAAGGGTTTTCAAAAAAATTGAAAATCCTTCGTCCAAGGACTAGGGTTATTATAATAAATAAGTGTTGGTGTGATCGTGTTGGATTTGGTGAATAATGGATTTGGTATTGATCGGATTAATAGTTTTTTAGTAATCGTGTCCACCGCAAAGGTAATTTCGAAACAAGAAAGAAAAGCTAACTTCGGGCGGAGCCGAAGTTGATATACCCTTGCAGTTAAGACCGGATATAGATCGCAAACATCGGATATAGTTGGCCGATCCTTATGAGAATATGATAATATAAACCAATTTATTATAATACAAAATCTAAAAAAAGTCCCAGACTTCTATCTTTAAAAATACCAAAATTGGTATTTCTACCAAAAACCAATTCCGACCGTTCAGTTATATGGCAGCTATAAGATAGCCGATCGTTATAAAATTTGGTAGGTCGGATTAACTGACCAAAAATATAACCTGTATCTGTACCTGTTCCAGCTTTCTATCTTCAAAAACACGAAAGTTGAGTCATTTCCGATCGTTCAGTTATATGACAGCTATAGGATATAGTCGGCCGATCCGGGCCGTTCCGACATATATACTGCGTGCAAAGGAAAGAAGTTTCAAGACGATAGCTTTGAAACTGAGAGACTAGTTCGCGTAGAAACAGACAGACGGACAGGCAGACGGACATGCTCATATCAACTCAGGAGGTGATCCTGATCAAGAATATATATACTTTATAGGGTCGGAGATGTCTCCTTCATTGCGTTGCACACTTTTGACCAAAATTATAATACCCTCTGCAAGGGTATAAAAACCAAACCTGCAGAGTTGAAAACATAAATATAAATCATTTAGTTGGAATTGTACGATTGCTAGAAGTTTTTGAGAATGTGTCCAAAAAACTTGAAGCTTCTAAACGCCCAACGATACATTTAATTTTGCCAAATTTAAATAAGCTTAAGAAAACCTGCCATATCGAGAACAATGACATAGAAATAATTCAAAAGACTTAAATTCCAACTCAATAGTCAAATTTTATCAACAATCAATCCAAATTTGACAAAATACCATAAATTACCCTTGTTCCTTTTTCCTCCAACGAACAAACTAATTCAATTCTCACAAACTGAGAAAGAGACCATAATTAAAGACTGCAAAATTGTTATGAGTCAATTTCTATAAGAAAACTTTGACATCAACAATAATGAAAACCAGTTAGTAGACGATGAATTTGCTGATTTTTTCGATGTCTCCCATGTTGAGACAATACAAGACAATGTGGATCAAGAAATTTCTGGATATTGTAAGAAAATGCATCCGAAGCTCGGAACAAAATTTATAAAAGTGATAGACGTTCGCATGCAAGACAAAATAGTCGTTAAAACACCATGACTGACGTTTTTTGTAGAGCACTTGATTCATCAGATTCGATGGTTTCCAGCATCCACATCAAGGAAAGAGTTCAGCAAAACAAAAAACGCAGCAGTTATCCATTAGAAGTTATTGATCTTTTTACACCACCAAATGTAGATTTTGTACATAGTTATCCTACTACAGATAACGATGATGAAGATGACCTGGATACATTTGAATGTATAGATTCATATTCCTACGATTTAGATGTTGAAAGTGATTAAAAATGAATTAAATAAATATATAATAATTGTTTAGTTTGAAAAGTGGTAGAGGGGGAGGGGCAGGGCATCGGGGCGATATTAACTAAAATTATGTTATACATATATGTATATATCTACAATTTATTTGATATATAGGCCAGATTTTCATGGATAATTTCAAAATTTTTGTGCTACAGTGCATTGCTTTCTATGGGGCGGAAAGGAAGGCGTGGCCCGATCTGCACAAAATTTGGTCCAGACTTTGCATTTATAATAACTATATAGTGTGCCAAGTTTCAAGTCTGTAGCTTCATTTTTCTAGTTTATGCAAGAATATTGGGCATTGGGACCAGTGTGCAATGGAGGCTTGTATGCCCGAATCTAATGCATCTATAACACTGTATAAAGTAAATATAAGGTTGGACTTCAACCTTTGACAACATAAATGTAATTTCCTTTGGAATTTGTTGGCCAAGGAATGAAATTTTAACTCTATTTGTGCGTTGGGATGCGTTGTTCTTTGTCTTTGGAATCTTTCTTGAAGATTCTAAAAAAATTTTGTATTGGGATTTCAGAAGTTATGTTCTCTGCAATTTCCTTTTCAGTGAAATTTGTGGGTATTCTAAATATTATTCCCGTTTTGCAAGGGAAATGTTGGAAAATCTTTACCGTGTATCCATTTTCTTCAAAGCTTTTCTCTTTTTCTAGCATGGAGTTAGCCATGGCTGCTGCGGTGAACCGGATTTGGCACCGACCATAGCCAACTCTTTTGATTTCTTCTACTCATCCTCTACTCTACATCATTTTTATTTAAAGCATCCATTTTCTTTTCTTCTTCTCCTTTTTTTCCCGTTAAACGGTTTGTAGTGGCGTCGCTTTTTGGTGCGCGCGTTTGAGCTATAATTTTTTCGTTTCTTTGCCCGGTAAAACCGTCCGTTGCTGATGACCAGTGTGACCAGAGTCAAAAAAAAATCATTTAAACATTTTGGAATAATGTTGGACCCAATTTAGTTTATACCACACGCCATAAATTTTATAAACCCTTTTTGTTGTTTCGAATAACCAGCTTCAAATAACGTGTCCATACATCATTTATTATGTCGTTTGAATTTTTGTAGATGGTTAATACATGTAGAATTTTATATTTTACGCGCTCCCTTTTTTAAATGTGCCTCAGTAACTTGTAGAGCTGGGGAAAATCGATTCTCGATGCATCGATTCTTTTCGATTTTTTAGAAAAAAACATCGATTAAATCGAAAAAAAAAAACACTTTTTTTTTTTTTCATTGAGGTCAAATCTTATAAATTATGAAAAATAAACTGACCTATGAACTTAAAAAGCTAAAAAACAAAAATAAGAACAAATAGAAAAGTAAATAAAAATAATGGTTTGCAAAATTCAGTGAGATCAAATCTTATAAATTATGAAAAGTAAACAAAATTATGAACTTAAAAAGCTAAAAACAAAAATAAGAACTAGAACTAGAAGAAAAGTAAATAAAAATATGGTTTTCAAAATAAGCAAAGCATTTAAATTTCAGTTAGCCATTGGTTTATGCATTGGCTTGCAAAAATTAGCTTATTAACTGTTTTTGGTTTGAGAGAGGCGCGTCTATCACTCACTATGCATCCACCCTGTTGGTAGCAGTATCAGTTTCCCGGCTACACAGCCTTTGAGAACATTTTTTTTCTCCGCCTCTTTTATATTTTTATAAATATAAAACGAATTTGTGTGAAAAACTGATTGTCAGCTGAAAAACTGAGTTTTTTTAGTAAAAAAGTAAATAATTATTTAAGAATAATTTAAACTTCTTAATAATTATTTACTAAAAAAATTATTTAGTATTTATTAGTTAAATAATTAAATATGAGTTATACTAATACTTTAAATGAAATATATTAATAATTTATTATTATTATTGGTACTTATCGTGTTGTCGCTCTTTCTATTCGATATTAATATCGATGGGTATTCTTTTCCAAACATCGATACATCGGTAAACATCGATATATCCTCTAGTGTAGAAGAACTTGCATATAAATAGACGAAGCAATCGTTTTCTGGTCAGTTGGTTGTGAGCCTTGCGGCTAACATCAGCTCCCAGAATGATAATTTATTTTTGAATTTTCATTTTAACTTTTAAATATGTTCTTATATAGTTATTTATTTTTTTTTTATTATTTTCATTTATTTTCAAATGTTTTAAAAATAAAAAACAAGAAACGATCTTTATGCCCTGGAACACCAGCTACCACCGGTTACTTTTGGCTTTTGAATTGGTAGTTTAATTATTTCTTTATTTTTTATGGGGGTTTGAAAAATCAATATATTTTAAATATTATACATATATAAACAATCCAGATTAAGTATCGTTGAATAAAACCAGAGAGGAGACAATTTCTGAGGTCAGTTCCCTTTGGGAACAGATATCTCCAGAGATCATCCAAAATTTAATCGATTCAGTATCGGGAAGCCTGGAAAAAGTTATTAAAACTAAAGGAAATTATATATTTTACCAAAGTCCTATTTTTGCCATAGTTTTTTTGAGTTTAAACTTTGTTATTCACATTAAAAGGTACTGTCAAAATACTTATGCCACGACATGAAAATTACTTTAGCTTATATTTTTGCAAGTTCATATGACAAAATGCTGAATTCGTTTTTTTTAAGTTTGTATTAGCACTAAGTAATACTGAAAAAAAATTCATTGAGTTATATTAAACCATTGAAAAGTTACATACAAACTTGAACCATTTTTTTCTCGTCAAAATAATTATGCCGACTAGTGTATGAAAGAAAACAATTATTTACAAATATATTTAATTATTTTATTAACAATTATATTTAATTATTTTATTTACAATAAATACTAAAAAAAAAAAAACTAAAACTAAATTAAATTCTAAACTAACTATTCTAAATTAAACTATTCTAAATCTAACCTAGTTGTAGTTGGGCTGGGAAAAGGGGGGAGGATTGGTGGGGGGAGGATTCATTTGCCCATCCCACCGGGCCCACAACTCCCTCATATGTGAGCCGGGCACATATGGCTCACCCACCCTGCCTTTGCACTTAAATTTTAAATGCATTGTAAAATTCGGCTGTATTTTAGTGTACGGGCACCACGGGCAGTGGAACCCCTTTCCCTCCTGGAGGCATTGCTCGAAATGGACGTTCAACTGCCTCATACTCCTAAAATTGGCAAAGCAATATGGGCATTCTTTTTCTAAGCTAGTCCATATGCCCCCGAGCCCGTCTATGTGCCAGGTTGGCGTGCCGGCATGTCTTAGGTCCAGAGTGAGCTCCCTAGCTGGCACTAGCGTTGCCACTGGACGGCTCGGGGGCGGCGGCGTTGTCGCAGGTTGTGTTGGCGGTGGCGTCATCACTGACGGTGGCGTCATCACTGGCCGGGCACTGGGCGCCATCCCTTGCGAGGGTGGGGGACTGGGCGCCATCCTGGGTGGGGGACTGGGCGCACTCCGTTGCAGTGGCCGGGCACTGGGCGCACTCCGTTGCAGTGGCCGGGGCCGGGGCCGGGGCTGTGGCCGGGGCCGGGGCGCACTCCGTTGCAGTGGCCGGGCACTGGGCGCCATCCCTTGCGAGGGTGGGGGACTGGGCGCCATCCCTTGCGGGGGTGGGGGACTGGGCGCCATCCGTTGCTGTGGCCGGGGCCGGGGCGCACTCCGTTGCTGTGGCCGGGCACTGGGCGCCATCCCTTGCGGGGGCCGAGGCCGGGGCGCACTCCGTTGCTGTGGCCGGGCACTGGGCGCCATCCCTTGCGGGGGTGGGGGCACTGGCGGGGGCGGGGGCGTCATCCATACTTGCACCCACCTTGCCGCAACATTTATTAAATTTGATGTGCATCGTAAAATTGGCCTTGTCCTTTGTGAAGGGGCACCATTGGCAATGGTACCCCTTGCCCTCATTGAGGCACCCTTCAAAATGTGTTCTTTGGGTCCTCATTTGAGGAGAAAAAAATGTTCTCAAAGGCTCTTTTTTTGAGCAGAAAAAAAATGTTCTCAAAGGCTGTGTAGCGCGAAGTTGAAAAACGTTAAAAAATTGGACAGTGTTGTGAAATGGTTGGTTTTTATTTTGGCGGGTTTTGTAATCAAATGAAAAAATCAAAGAGTTATTTAAAAGCAAATTTTAATCAATTTTTCATCAATTTCAATTTGAACACCTATTGAAATTGAAATGCCTATTTGAAAACAATAAAAAGTCCATACACCATACAGTCCATATAATTACCAGATACAATTTAGTACACCAATTTAATACACCAATACACCGTATATTTGAAAACAAAAAAACTCTTGCTTAAATTTATTATAATTTTTTTTTTAAATTTATTTATAGTTAAAAATACTCTTTTCCGCACCACCTTTGAGGTAGAGTAAATGGCGCGTTTTTTTTTAAGTGGTATCCCCGAGAGGCCTAATCCACTGTACAAAAACGAAATTCAACTTAACTAAACTAAAACTAATACAAAAACTAATACTTCACTATATTATAATACTAATACTAATTCACCTTCATCCTCTTCGATGGTCCTTGCTCCCGTCCTTGTCATCCTTCCTAGTCTCGTCTGGGGTTAGTAAATCGGCCAATTCCATGTCCCTGGGAAAAAAAATTATATATATTTTTTATGACATATGATAATATAAATACTTACATTTCCTTAAGATCTTTGTGAATTCTTTGCACAAAGATCGTGGCCAAAGTGGCCATGAAGGCAGCCGCCTCGTTTGGATCGGCGAGGGCCGGGAATTTCGCGAAGCCCTCCTCGGCCGCAAGATGGACAGATTGGGCCAGATTGGCGCCCAATACCTCCATGTAATTCGAATTCAGCCGTGTCAGGCTGAATGTCCTATTTGGGAATCGATTGAAGAGATTTCCAAATAGGCACCCGAGGGAAAGCAGCTGAAAATAATGAATAAAATGTTTGCTTTATTAATTTTTGTTTTTGGAAACTTACCTCTTATTTGTAACGGTCTTGCAATGGGGAGGGTATTTTATTCTCCACCACCCGTTCAATGCCGGACAACTTTTTCTCCTAATTATCCTTTGTGAAGATGGGAATGGGAGTGGTGTAAATAGATGTAATTATTACATCCATAATTTCCGATCTTGTCATCGTATTTTGGAAGTGGTGCAAATCATACAGAACCGGTATTCCGTGGTTCTGCATGAATTTGATTGTGTCCATATTGGCGGCGCATTTATCGGCTACCGCACCGACCAATGTTCTGGTAAGCCGGGTGCTTGTTTTTATTTTGCCTAGCACCATTTTAATTCCCTCCAAAATGGCAGCCGATCCAATTTTTTTGATGCCACTTGACGCCTACAAAAAAATGTAATTAATTTCATTTTAATAAAATTAAGTACTTATTGTACTTACCGCTCGCAAATAAACAATTTTCAAGTGTCCCGCGAAATTGGACACCGCAATGGAAAATAATTTCCAATTCTTCATATTATTTGGGGCGTTCTGTAAAAATATATTAATTAGTAAATATATATGTATATATAACAATTTTTATACTTACATTGACATGTCTTAGATGAAATTCATCGAAAATAATAAAAAATGGTTCGTCGACCAAAAGGAAATTCAAATTGCGAAAATGGATTTGCCATTTTCGAGAGTTTCTCTTCTGTTATTTAACCATTCCAGAAATGATTCTGGAATGTTCATATCACAAACAATTTTTAATTGTTTTACGCACTGCATGTTGAAATTCTCACTTTGCAATGTTTTGTTGGTGGAGAATTAGTGATGGGAACTTGGGACGCGTCATTTTGGAGCGTTGCCAATTAACCATAAGAAAGATAAAATCAAGAAAGAATAAAAAAGATTTTATTTGTGGCTACAAACACCAAAGTTTGCAAACTTGCATCAATTAAATAATTTACAAATTCTTAAACAAACTACAAATAAATAAACAAAATGAATAATAATGGCACAGTAAGTACTTAAGTATTTAATGCTTGCTGAGGTATTATAGTTTTGATCAAAAGTGGCCGAAAAAGACATTTTCAATATTTTTTTTTCTCCAGTTCCATATCAACACGCTAAATCAAACCACAATCATACAACCAGCCGTTCGGATCCGAGTTGCCAAGTTTCCGAGATCCCAGTACGCTCCCATATAGCTAAAAAATTTCTATAATTTTTATGAAAACATGAATTTAATATAATATATCTGTTACGATATTCATAAACACTCATCAGAGAGAGAGAGAAAAAATGTTAATAACATTTTAATTTTTCGTCTTTTTCGCACAGTAGGTGCAGAAAAAACGCGCGCGACTTTTCTGCACCTACTGTGCGAAAAGATGAAAAATCGTGCGAAAGAGATGGAACACGATTGAATGGAGTGTTGAAAAACGGTTTAAAAATAAAATCAAATTGAAATTTGAAATTTTTTGTTATTTTTAAATTAAAATTTAAACCTGTAAACTATATATATTTATAAAAATATTAATATTAATAATAATAGCCCGACAAAGGAAAACAAATCGCAATATAAGCCAATATTATTGCAGTATTATATTATATTATATTATAGCCGCATATTATATTATATTATATACAATATTATAGCCGCAATATTAGCTAAAAGAAATTGGAAATTAATCCCTAAGAAGATTAAGAGATAAGATTTGTATCTTATTTGTAAAATGCATATTTGTACCAATATCGGCTGCAAATGAGTTCTCAGTTCAGTTCTCAGTACTATCATTTGTGGACCCGTTTTTTATAATTCTTCCGCGAATAAATATTGTGTTTATTAATTAAGTGAATAATCGAAATTTATTTATTTATTTACATTTACTCTATTTAAATCTATTTATTTACATTTACTAAAACTATTAATTATTACTATTAATATTTACTAAAACTAAATCTATTATTACATTTACTAACTATTCCTATTCTAAATTTAATCTAATTAAAAGTAGGAGTTAATTTGGAGTAGGAGGATTAAAATTGGGTTGGGAATAGGAAGGAGTAGGAGAATTGGGAGGAGGATTGGGAAGAGGATTGGGGAGAGGATTAATGCGGGGAAGATTTACTAGCCTATCCCACCGGGCCCACAGTTCCCTCATCTTGGGCCCGGGCATGTAGGGGACACCCACCGTGCCGCTACATTTCTTATACTTCAAGTGCATTGAAAAGTTAGCATTCTTCTTTGTCAACGGGCAATATGGACAATGGAAGCCCTTAGCCTCATCGAGGCACCCTTGGAAGTGCTGGTTAAGGAGCCTGACACTTCTAAAATCTTTGAAACAATAGGGGCACTGCTTCGGTTTATTCGTCCACACGCCCCCTTGCCCGTCCAAGTGCCACGTCGGGATGTCGGCGTGGCTCAAATTGAAATTAAGCTCCCGAGCGGGCACTTGGACCACCAACGGGCGCGGGGGCGTGTGGAGCGGGGGCGTCGGGCGCGGGGGCGTCGGGAGCGGGGACGTCGGGCGCGGAAGCGGGCCAGAGCGGAGTGGGGGCGTCCTCGGGAGCGGGCCAGAGCGGAGTGGCGTCTTCGCAAGTGGCGACGGCGGGGGCGGGGCTGTCCTTCCGCTCGACGGCGGGGGCGTCTTCGCAAGTGGCGACGGCGGGGGCGGGGCTGTCCTTCCGCTCGACTCGTTGTAAACAGTCATAGTCTGCGACAAACAAATTTTAAATTATTTAACAAGAAAGAAAAGCTAACTTCCGGCGGTGCCGAAGTTGATATACCATTGCAGTTAAAACCGGATATATATCGCAAACATCGGATATAGTCGGCCGATCCTTATGAAATTTGGTAGGTCGGATCAACTGACCAAATATATAATCTGTACCAAGTTCCAGCTTTCTATTTTCAAAAACACGAGTTGGGTTAAAGTTGGGTCATTTCCGATCGTTCAGTTATATGGCAGCTATAAGATATAGTCGGCCGATCGTTATGAAATTTGGCATGTCATATTATTTTGCCAAAAATAGCTCTCATGTCAAATTTGAACTCTCTAACTCTAAAAACACCAAAGTTATACCATTTCCGATCAATCAGTTATATGGCAGCAATAGGATATAGTCGGCCGATCCTGGCCTTTCTGACTTATATACTGCGTGCAAAGGAAAGAAGGGTGTGTGCAAAGTTTCAAAACGATAGCTTTAAAACTGAGAGACTAGTTTGCGTAGAAACAGACAGACGGACAGACAGACGGACAGACAGACGGACAGACAGACGGACAGACAGACGAACAGACAGACATGCTCATATCAACTCAGGAGGTGATCCTGATCAAGAATATATATACTTTATAGGGTCGGAGATGTCTCCTTCACTGCGTTGCACACTTTTGGACAAAATTATAATACTTACACCATAATTGAAAAATTGATACATATTGATATTGTTAAAAAATACAACTTTGTATACCACTTTGTATCACCGAAAAAGTTGTCACAAAAGTTTGCAAAAGAAATGCAAAAAGTTTTTTTTTGCATATGTTTTGATTTTGTTTTCATTTGGTAATACTAATTTAATGAAAATTCAAATTCAAATTCAAATTAATATTAAACCATTCATTAAACCCACTCATCTGTATAATCGCATCTTGTTGGATTGGGAAAGAGAATATAACTCTTTTTGTTTAGAAAGAAACAAAGGTTATTGCCTATTATTTCCGTTTGTTAATGCAAAACCTTGGTTCAAAGACAAAAACTGCAATTTAAACATCCGTTCAAATTTCCCGCCTCTATTAAAATATGACGATATATATCGGTTCTTTGAGCACGAACCAATAACAAATTACTCCTTTATAACTAAATTTTTACGTTCAGCAAAAATAGACTTATGATCAACATTTCATCAAATTGTATTAATACAATGGTATTAACTTAATACAAAAAAAAAAAAAATAATAATAAATCACTTTTTAATTTAATTTAATTCACTTACTCGATACGTTGGAAACCCTTT